CATGTTCAAACTACATATTCTGTTAATGGTTAGTATATATTAAATTGTATTTTCCATTTGTAGAAAAATAATATGCATTTTATATCTACCAACGAATAAATTACCGATGTTTTAAACAAATCAAACCTAAACTCATGGTATGATATGTGTATAGTTGCTCACATTTATACTTATGCCATCGTCCTTTCTTCCCATTTGCTTTTTAATAGTGCAAATTTCTTTTGATTATATTGGTAAAAAAATAACATATATTACAAATTATTCCAATTTATTTAGAAAATGTTACTAATTTCATTAGAAATTATGTAATGTAATCATGGTTTATTAATTTTTTACTAAAATAAATACTGCATACAAAAGGAAAAGATATTTCATTTTGTTTTACTTTGATTAGAAAAACTTGTGGTAGTAATAACGAAATAGTGACAGGGGTGCAAATTTCGAATCAATAATCAAGGTACACTTAATTACAGTAATTTTTTAGTTGATCAGACTAATATATGCCATAAAGTAGTAAGATTTAATCATTAATAAATTGATAATTTTAGCAGTTTATATACCATTCACCTATAAAAATTATGATTATTATAAAATGACATTTTATAATAATTTACATACTATTTGCCAATTAAAAATAAGTTTGATAAAAAAGTGCATATAAATCCATATTGTAAATGATACAAAATATATTTGAAACACACGAAAGTTAATATATGGGTAAATTTACTATAATTTTTAAAGATAATGCTACATAAGTACAACTTTAACTTTTATACTTGTGGCCTAGAAAATAAATTTATTAAAACACATAACATTTATAAATGATACACACATTTATTAAAATGCTTAAAACACATAACATTTATGAATGATACATACAATCATCTATTATACATTTACGTTACCAACAATTACTAACTATAATATTAAGTTTCAATCATTAATAAAAAAATCTTAGCATTATTTTAAATAAACTTCCTAATACTTGTTTCATATAAGTTTCTTTAAGTAAAATAGTAAATTTATGCCACAACTAGTAACTTTTGACGATTAACTAAATTTACTATTCTATCAACACGATTTACTATTAATCTATAAAAACTTACATTACTTGAACTAAACTTACTCTCCAAAAAGTATATTTTGAATATAGAGTAGTAATTTATTTTTTAAAAAAAGTAACTTTCATTTTTATTTCGATTTGCTTTTTGAGACATAAAAGTTACTAATTTATGGGTTAACTTACTATTTTTAATGCGAAACTTACTAACCAAATTTTTAGGCATTATCTTGCTTAGGTGACCGGTCCAACAGGTAATCAAATGGTCGCTAAAAGTGTCTTTACCTGTCATATTAGGTAAAAACAGTTTCGTTACCATAACGATCGTTACTTCAGACTTGTCCATATACTTTAGACAAATCAATCTAATTCAACAAACCAAATTTCAACGTCATGACAAAGTTGCAACCAGAAAATCATCGCAAACTATTATGTATGACAATTTTTTAGGGCTCGACCGATGACATTAAAATTCTTGTATTTAGGTTGAAACACAACACACTATTTCCAGTTCGATATACAAATGAGAAGGTGCAGTGGGCAAACATCTCGATCAAACATTTATATCTGACAGGTTGTCGAACCTGTGCAATAATAATAATAAAATCCTAATCTACCACTAAAAGCAGTCAATAATTAATCCCGGGTACTGGAGCAGGGACTCTAGGTGTGCAATGGGTTACTTGATTCACCCTGTTCCCGAAGAGTTTGCTTAATCCGATATACTAGAATTAATTAGTTGACAAAAAGTTACTGAATAGTAGACAGTGGCAAGTAGGGTCGTCTTCTCAGGGATTGGGGATATTTGTCTCTTTTAAATCTCAATTGGTAAGGGGGGATTTCACCGGAATGAAACTAAAAACAATTAAACAATTCAACTAAAATAAATAATTAACTAACACAAATATAGCAGGAATTAAATCAAGAATAAATAAATTCTAGCCAAGGATACAACTACTCAGACACAGTCCATTTATCTGATCATCGATGCAAGGGAGGTTCTCTTAATTTCTCAATAGGCTAGTTATAGTCGCCGATAAACTCTAACGACCAATTTTTCCTTAAATTATTGATAACCAAGGTACGACCATTGATTACCCCTAACCAGAAAATACTTCTAGGTACGACCGTAGGAATTAATTTTTCAATTGCATTAATAACTAGAAAAACCTAGCCCTAATCAATAACACGCTACGAGGGTTATTTAAATTAGATTGCACGTTCCTCTAATGTGTAAACACACCAGTTGCCACTAATATTAATCAATCAAACAATTACGGATTTAATTGACTAAATTGGCACGAGACTAATAAATCACATTGAACATCGGGCCCTTGACATCCAATTAATAAAATAATCCCAAGAAAATTCAAGCAGGCAACGTGCAAATATTAATAAATTAAGGAACGCGTGAAAACTAATTAGATCTCACAGATTTTCGGGACTGCGCCGTCGAGTTGACCCTTGACTAGATGGAAGACTTAGCCACGCCGCATAATTAAATCACCACACGAATTAATAAATTGCAAAGGCATTGCGTTTTTACCAGAAAACAAGGAATAAAGGATGTTTTTCCCGTTGGAGAATATTGTCGAACACCTGGCGTGCGTCAGAGGCCAGTCTCAGGAAAGAAAGAAAGAAAACTAGAACTAAACTAAAAAGCTAAACTGAATGGTCCTTTGCTTCTGTACGTTTCTTAAAAAGCCAAAAGAAGGATCCCTCAAGGCTCATCCAGTGGTCCCCACCACTTAGCCACAAGCCTCCAAATTACTTCTTCGTTTTCTGGCTCTCTACGTTGCTTTCTTCTTAAGAGCCAAATGACTAAAGCCCTTTTCCTTTCCTCCGTGGTCCCTGCCGAACCAAAGGCCCAAGCCTTGAAGTTCTCACCGCCGAAGTCTCTGGTTGTAGTCTTCTTAGTCAACAAAAAATAAAGGAATGGGATTCCAGTTCTTTTCAGCACTGTGGCCCTGGCCTGTGGCTTGTTTGAAGTTTCATTTATCTCCAGAAAGTCCCTCATGTTTGGTAGTTTTCTGTTTCATTCCTGAAATTAAATCCAGATACCAAATATGAGTAGATATCAACAATTAACACGATATTTGGCAGGAATAAAAGGGAAATTAATAATAAAATTATTAACAAATGATACCCTATCAATATCCTCCAGGAGAGTTGCTAAAATTGATTCATCCTCATTCTTTCCTTGGATTTTGTCTACTATAGCTTTACAATTTGATTGGATCTCAATCTGTTGCCACCTGCCTCCTTAGCCATGATCAGAACCATCCTTATTGCCTCTGCTTCCACTACCATTGCATCCCCTTTCCGTTGGTTTTTTTAACCCCAGGCTTTCTATTTTTCCAGTCCAATTCCTTGCTACAATGCCAAGTCCTGTTCTGATCATGCTTGCTGAGACTGCTGCATCCATTTTTATCTTAATGATACTTTCACTTGGAGGAGTCCATTGCTGTCTCGGTTCGTTTTGAGGTGTTTCAGCACTGTGCCTTTCATCCTCAGGTGTTTAAGCACTGTGAGATTTCTGATTTCAATTTCAAACTCTTCCGTTTTCTCTTTTCTTTTTTTAAGGTTTAGAATAAGCCCTTCACAATAATCAAAGATCATTTTGGGAACTTTTGAATTCTAAGAGTTGAAAATTGTAGAAAAAACAATTACAAAGTTTAATATCAAGTAATTTCACAATTAGAAGACTTGCCTTTGACCAGAGAGCCCTTTGGTCTAATGGTTAAAATTGAGATCTCATGACCTAAAGGCCCTAAGTTCAAATTTTCCTTTTTTGCTTCTTACTTTTTAAATCCCACCCCTCCCCTACTAGCCAGAAACAAATTAGAAAAAAAAAAAAGAGGACTTGTCCTTGGCTTCTGCCCAAGCATACAAGTTTGGTAGGGGAAATGCTTGTCTGCTACAAAAGCTTAGTACATAAAAACACTAATTGTGCTTTGTGACCATGTCGGTGCATGCATAAAACCAAATCTATAGACACCGGAGTTTTCATTTTCACTAAAACTTTCTTTTTCGCAAATTTTCTATTTTCATTTCTATTGGTCTTTACTTTTTTTTTCTAATGTTGCATTTAATCATATTTGTAGGTTTTCTTTTATTGTAAAACCACAAAACAAAAAAGAGAAGAAACGAAAGAAATATGTGACAGCATTCATATGATATAGAGTTTCTGCATTCATTTCTACTTTGTCATTCTTTTTTTTAAAAAAAATTATTTTAATAATGTAAGTTGAAGGATTCAAACCCAAGATCTCTCACTTGCACTCTTTCTTCTGAACCATCCAGCCCATCCCTCCTACCCCTCCCTTCTGTTTTGTCATTCATGATTGTTACCTTGTTTCACAATAAATCTGAAATTTGACTACATGTGCAAAATGAATGGTTTTATAATGCTGGGATCGAAGTAGTTGCTCACGTTGCAGACAACGTAACTCAACAAGAGAAGCAGCAGCGGTGGAGTCATGACTTTTATTCGGAGGGTGAAATAATTTTTGGATTCAACTCACAACCTATAGTTTTTTACATTTTTTTTATAGAAGTACTTGTTACAATAAGTTTAATATGCATGAATAAATTCTTTTTTTTTTTTTAAAATTTTTTTCTTGCAGAGGAGGAGTGGGATTTAAGAAGTAGGGAGGGGATAGAGGTGTTAAAACCTAGGACCTTTAATTCCTAACGTCTCAACTTTAACGTACGCATTAACAAATTTATTGAACATTGCAAAAATAAAATCAAAAAATTTTATGTAGGTCGTGATTTATGATGTGCAGTAATTATCATGTTATCTAATGGTAAGATTGCAAAATTGTTAATATTACTTATAAGACTAATAGTGTGACGATCCTACCACCCCTTAGGGCGAAACCTAGGGTTTAGCGAACCGCCTGCCTAACTCTCGCCAGAACTCATTCACTCACATTAACTTCAGAGATAACATTTCCATTAAACAACCACACATTCAATCTTAAGTACATAGCCAACTAGACTAGAATGTAAATTCGTCCATTAAAAGAAACAAATTACAAGTTTTAAATAGCGATATACAAATTTGACCATCCAAAACCGTCTATCTCTACTCGACACTTCTTCCAACCTCAACTCCTGTAAGGAAAACAAAGCTAAGGAGATGAGCTTACGCCCAGTGAGGTTTTCCAAATAAGCAACATTCAATAAACACTTATACCAGTAAAAATTAAACAAGTAAAGAACACTTCACTATATAATTACTTTCAAAAGGATACGGTGCTCATTAGGAGCCACTTATATAACACTATACATTTCACAATAGAATAACTCATTCAATATAAAAGGATACAAGTTCCTTCTGGGAGTCATTTCAATATCACTACACACTCTGCCAAAATCACCCCCTTATATCCTCCAAAATAATAAACAATCCCCTACATTCATTAATCAGTTCAATAATCTCCAAACTTCAAGGTAATACTCGAGTATACCGAAGCACTTACCCAAAACTATCATTCTACTTGACCAAATCCTTTGCTGGCTCGAATAGTTTGTTGAACAGAGGGTTTTGGGGCCCAGTTCAACCAGTGTGATAAAGTACACATACGGCTTGCATTCATGCACACTTACAGTAACACTTGATCAATTATCAACCTTCAAACTCAACTAAGTCTAATACAATAAAATATACCCCCGACTTAGAAAGTAAGGGACAATTGAAATACACTTTATAATGCATCGCTAGCAATATTCCATAATAAGCACATTTATCACATAACATCACTTAAGTAAAACAAAAGCAGTTTAGACACACAAATCCGGAAACACTCACCTAAAGTATTTTGAGTTCACACCTCGGTACTTGGACCCTCCGCCGAATCTCCCTCGGCTTCTGAGATATTTATAAACTTATTAATTTTCCCAAATGGTGAAATTAAGGTTCACATGATTATTTTGACTAAAGTATATATATGTGTATATTTAACCCAAGATGTTTAATGTATATACATATTTAGAAGGAGATTTAAGGTGATTATATGCCAATAAAAGTTGGGATTTAGGTTCTAAGCATCATTTAAAATCAAGGTTCAAAGTAAGTTTTCCAGAGTTTGGCAGTTTAGAGATCTTATGAATTTCTTTGATTTCCTCCTAGATTTTTGGATGAGTTTTATAGGTAAAACTTTTATAAGGTAACTTAGAAAAGTTTTGATTAGTTTTGGTTCGTTTCTACCTTAGAAATTCAAAGTTAAAAGGTAGAATCTAAGTATTAAATTAGGATTGCTTAAAATAGATTCTAGCAGGACATACTTCATGTTTTTGGTCAAAAGTTCACTATTTCCTTCATTCAAATCTCCTAAAATCCAACCTGAATTTTACCATTATTCTTTATAGATTGTTCTTAGTTCAAAGTTTGATTAAAATCTCCTAACATTTTCAGAAGACAACTTGAACTCCTCAACTATCCCAATCTGTTCAAACAGTCTTGCAAGCTCAACTAGCCCCCAGTTTCTTTTTCCAAAGACTCAATATTTCTTTTCAAATCAATGTAGGCATAATATATAGAGCAAAACAGAGTACCATAGGGTAATTTTAACCAATATTTGTATAAACTTCAGTTCACAAGATGGAAGTTAAGCCTGAGAAAACACGCCAATCATTCGAGTCTCAAAACTGAAATTCCAGCCATATATTTTTCAAGATTTTCATTCAATCTATCAAATTATCAACCATATCCAACATGCACTCACTAATATACTGAAATGAAATGAGAACATGCAGCTTTGAAAATCCAGCAAAATTTCCAAAATCTGTTTTGAAAACAAGAATTGTAGCTAGACTCCCAATCGGGCAACTAACAAGTCTCACAGCCATACAATCCTTATATAGCTACTCCAGCCCCATTAAACGAATTTTCACCCAGGAAAACTAGCCTGCAACTCTAAATAAAGATGGTACTGGACATATAAGAAGGATTTCCTAGCTAAATTCTTAAAAATTCCAGATGAAAGGTTGAGAAACCTTACCCTCACTCTCAGCTCCTTTAGTAGAATTTTTCTCACCAAGGTTACTTCAAATTTTCCAAAAAAAAAAAAAAACCGGTGAATCTATTCATGCATGTCATGTTTAAAGCATTAAAAGTTTAATGAGCTAAAAGGTACAAGTTTGCAACTAACATTTTGGAGTTAAAGTTAAAGAAAATGGCAGCTACATACTCTCGGGTTTCAAGCAAGAAAATCCTGCGATACCATTCGTCATTTGTTTCTTATAGCCTTTAGATTTATAACACCAAACTTGATACAAATCTAAACCAAGGTATATTACAAGAATTTGCAGTAAAATAGCAACAAATTTTTGAAGGCTGAAATTTAGCTATGGTTCAAAACCAAACAGGCTACGGGCATGTGGATTTCTAACCAAAAACTCAACTTTCTTTCATGATTCAAGCATAAATCATATAATATATCATAATGTTACTATAAAGCCATGAATCTCCTAGAAAAATTTCAACAAAATTGAAGTTACAAGCTGGGAAACACAGCCCTCCTCCCACGGTTCAAACTGGAAATTTCAGCAAACTTTCTTCCATTTTTCTCATCCAAAGCAGCACCTTTCTCACTTACTTTCAACCTTAAATCACCTACCAACATGCTTATAACATAGAGTGAAGTAATAATCATGCATTTCCCAAAAATTCAACCAAAAATTGCAACTAGAAACCATAATGCATAGGTCAACTCTCAGCCTCAATCCTGGAAATTTCAGCAATCATGAAGTTCACATGCATTCCATATTTTCACCAAGATTCATTCACCAAAAGGAGTAAAAGATTTTCTAGCAACTTGCAACATAATATAAACCAAAAGCTGGATAGAAATGAGCTTCCTTAGCTCGGTGCAAGCTGGAAAAATTTCCAGCATTAAACAGGTTCCTAGCACAAATTTACTTCCATCAAACATCAAACCAAACATGCATCCAAATTTCTCTAAGTTATATGGGAAAATTGAAGTTTCTAAGCCATATTACCTTATTTTTGCTGCTACAAATCAAGCTGGAAGTTAGCTCACCTTCCTGATTTCTCCTCAGCTGGAAATGGAGTTAGACAAGGTTTCCTCTCAGCTTTCCCTCCAGTTTCTCTCGGCTGGAAATGGAGTTAATACACAAGGTTCCTCTCAGCTGGAAATGGAGGCAAGACACTCTAGTGTCCATGGGCTGAAACAAGGAAGCAAACTCTAAATTTTCTCTCAAGTTTTCTTCTTCCTCTTGGCTAGAAAATGGAGCAAGACCGAAAGAAAGCTTTGACTATAGGAGTTTATGTCTTGCACGGTTACCGACACTTGGCTCTTAGTCATCTCCACTTGTCAATCATATGTGAGTTGTCAAGAGTTATTTTAGCTATTACCCCTCACTTCTATATTATCATGCCATGTCCACACTAATTTCTTATTCTAGTTAGTTTTAATTCCTATAAGGGTTGATCCTACACCAATTTAGGGTACAATCAAGTTGTTTAATCACAAGAAACAAGTAAATTCGTAATTTAAATAATAACAAGCAAATTGCAACATACTCAATTCTAGATAAACTATAAATTGCACAATTAATTTCAGGCTCTCACAAATAGATATATTTTTTAACCTATTCGCAAATAATTTTCACACAGTTAAACTGTTAAAGAATTATTTGGTTCACCTGTGATTCGTATGATTAGATATAAAATGAAGTTCAATGTTAAGTAAATAAGATTTATTAGAAAGAAATTAAAAATAGCATTATGTTAAATTTCAAGGTTCTCTTTTAGAAAGAGTGAGGGCAAATTTAAAAATTCCAATACTTTTGGGGAACAAAAGTGGTGCTAGATAAAATACTTTTGAAACATGAGGAAGTAAGAGTGAGGCAATATTAAAAAAATAAACTTTTTAAAGTTATTTTATAATTTTCAAAAATTGAGGGCTTCCAATTATAGCAGTAACGTAAAAGCAACTCCGTCTTCTTCTATTGTGACAAAATACTTCAAAATGTGAAGGCATATTTTAAAATTGTATATGTATAATGGAAAGAGACGGATCACATCCAATCCTAAAAACATATGCAATTTTTCTACTTAAATTATAGAGAGCGGAGATATGTGTAATAAAAAGCAAAAAAAAAAAAAGGATTATGTTGACAAAAATATAATCTCTTTCTAAAAAAAAAAAAAGAAAAAGACTTTTCTTGAAGAGAGAATTTTGATGTGGGGTCACTAGTCAGAATGCATCATAAATTCTAATAAAATCCTTTATGGAAAAACTAGTGATCCTTAATGCAAACAATCTATTTTGATCTTAATAGATCTTAATTTGATTGTCATTAATTTCTCTAGAGGAAGGAACTGTTGCAGCGCGAGATCAGTAGAATAAACAAGTGCAAACACTGCTGCTTAACAAAATTGCCATCTAGTTTCTTTGATTTTTCATTCTGATCAGTTTGAACAGTTAAAACGGATCAAATTGTTTGTGTAGTGAAAAGAGATGGATTATGTCCAACCCTATAAAAGTGATACAATTTTTCAATACAAATTGTAGAGAACAGAGATTTGTGTAATACAAACAAAAAAAAAAGGATTATGTTAACAAAAATATGGGCTCTTTCATTAAAAAAAAGGTATTTTCTTGAAGAGAGAATTTTGATATGTGAGATCAAAGTGCATTATAAATTTAACAAAATCCTTTATACGAAAACTACTGATCGTTAATGCAATCAACTTGTTTCCATCTCAGGAGATTTTAATTTGATTGTCATTAAATTTGCCAAAGGAAGGAACAGTTGCAAAGCGAGGCGAGTTGATAAAAAAGTATAAAAATTGCACAGCAAAATTGTCATCTAGTTTCTTGGAATTTTCATTCTAATATGTTTGAACAGTTAATCACTTGGAGTGGAAACTAAAGGATGAAACAGTAAAGAAAAAGTTTTAGGATATTTACTTTCTTTAGACTTCCAAAAGTACCGCCAATTAAAGAAGGTTTCTACATGAAAATAGAGCAAGGAAGAAAGACACATATAAAGATAACGGTTGCATAAATTTTTAGATTTTCTTTTCCTTTTGGCTTGGTATCCAAAGCTATTTCTGGATCCAATGCCAATGAAAATGGGTTGCATATAACAACAATACGCAAAGTGTACAAAACAACCATTTGAGGCAAATTTTACTATTCTTTTGCTACGCCCTTTCTCTATTGACTAGCAGATAAATACCGTGCTTGCACATGGTGAGAAATTAAATGATGCCCACGGTGACAAATTAAAAATATGCACAAAATCATGTCCGATCAATGCACAAACGACCACTTAAAAGCAATACAATTTATGGGGATTTTTTGTTGTGACATTTTGTTTGTTAATTTATTATTTGGAAAAAAAAAGGTGAACAACATACCGATACATGTACAAGGTATTGGTTACTCGTAAATGTGAGGTGATTTTTACATCCGAATGCACTTGATTTTTGCTAAGTTAAAAAAAAAAAAAAAACAGAATGTAGTTTGCTGCTTCTTTGTGAGTGTATGTTTAGACATGTGTGTTGTTTTGTTAGTCTCAAAATAAGATAAGATAGTAGTAAATTGCACAATGTCATTCATATGTAAAGGAAATTTCATATTCTTTTTTAAGTTTAATTTAAGTATTGTGGATAATTGTATCTAAAATTTTACGGTAAAATTTGTGGATTTTGTTACAGTGTAATGGATTTTGCTTTAAGTTATTTTCCTTTGTTGAGGGAGCGTAAATGGGTTTAATATTTTGGACTGTGCAATAACATGGAAAGCAATTTAATGTTTGTGCTACAAATCAATCTTGAATTCTGCTTCTGAATACACTGATATTAAATTAGATAAGATCATGTAAATTAAGTCAGAAGTACTAACAACTGAAAGTCAACAATAGCCATGTTTATAAGTTAAGAGCACTACTTTATTGGATAGCAAAACCAAAAGCAAAAGAGAAATATTGTAGAAAGTAAAAATTTTTTTCTTCACACAATGCATCAGTTTATGGTGGAAGATCATTTCCATCATTTTGTGGCATTCCATCGAGTCCACATTTGTTGGCAGACGTTTGGTCGTTCTGCAATTAAAGTGTTCAAATTAGTTAAAATAACAACTTTATGAATGTCGGAATGTATTATCAAATGCCGCTTCATAACGAACAGATATCAGCAATGATATCGGCAATGTCTTCTAACTTAACATATGGACAGGAATAAGGCGAGTATTAATAAAGATTCAAAACCTATGCACTAGTCAAGCCCAAGAATTATCCGTCACCAAACTGCCAGGACATGTTCTTGAAGAGCAATGAGAGGGACTTATGAAGGCCTTTCTAGATTCTACAGAGTGATGCAGCAAACAGGCTTACTGGAGAAAAGAGGTATTAGGAAAGTACTCACACTTAAGGACTCTATCCTAATAAGACTCTATGTGTTTAAAAATTTTCCAGCATTACTTCAACAGATAAGCTTGATTGAAGGTGTGAGGATCTTTGAAGTTACAGCCCACCCCACTCTCTTGGTTGACGCACTACTTGTATTACAGGAACGAACTACAAGTACAGAACTGGAAGGTGGGGATGATAAATGTTTTTCATGTGAGAATTCAAGAGAAGTTCCAACATTCATGCACAAAATGATCTAAACGACACGTGTTGAAAAAAAATGCTTAAAATGGAAATTGGAAAATGGAAAAGTATCTCAAAGTAATTGGACTAAATAAGCAAATGAAACATTGCAAGAAACTTCTCATTACAATAACTTTCTTTGCATAACTTAGGCTAGACCACTGTTATGGATTTACAAAAAAATTCAGCCACCAAATTTACATTCTAGGCCGTATATATCGGAAATAACCTGTTTTCCTTATTATATTGGCATTCAAATGCTGTTAACCTGTTTTAATTGAGTTTTCCCAAGGCACTGAAGATGATAACTAATGCTGCAAGATTTTTTAGAAATTACTTTCTGCTTTCTTTTTTTACTACAAAATATTATCATCAAGGCTTGATAGTATGTCAAATGGAACCTTTAATTGGTTTGCCTCTTAACCTGTCAATGCATGCAGTTTCCCAAGGAATATCTTACTAATCGAAGACATGATAACATAAAGTCTCAAGATTCTTTGTAGTTTTACTGCAATCATACTTTTTTCAGTTTTTCTTGCAGTCCTTATTTTTTAAAACTCAAAGCAACTAGGAACCAATCAATAGTTTAAGGCATGTGTGAGCTACCAAATCATGTATATCGAAACATTGATCAAAATTCACAACCAAGACTAGTAAATTGAAATAAGAAAGCTCCAAAAATAATATAAGTGCAAGAGAGTTACCTGGTTTGCTATCAATGCAAGAGATATCTCTCCCATGATGACCTTTTTCAATGCGTTTGGGAAAATGCAATTTGACCCAAAAATTCCACATTGCTGTGACTAATTAATGAACATGTGGAATTGAATCAAGTGAGAGGTCAAAGGAACTGGAACAGCTTGGACATGAAAACTAATGGCTCACACGCCGACATCTGAAACAATCAGGCATACATTTGGCATATTCAGTCCATCCCAAGGTAATTTCACTTTGATGCATCATAAACAAACACAGGTTGATTTAGCAGCACATACCACAAAGAAAATAAAAAAAAAAGTTGTAAAGCATAAGCAAAAATTAAGCATGCGAATCCTCTGTTATCACCCAAACTACCTCTAAGATTCACATTAAAGTACCAAACTAATAAAGAAAATAAAAACATAAGAAGTTCTTATTAACATTAGAAAAAAAAAGAGACCATTCGTATGTCTAGCAGAAAATTATACATCACACCTCAGTAACAGGAGCCCACATCTAAAACTCACTTTCCAGTAGATGACATTTTCCATCTTCCATCTCTAAGTGGAGATTTTTCACTAAATCCACTGAAACCTTCAATAATTTCAATCCTTCAAAAACAATAACACAGATCAGTTACAGGACTCTAGAAACAAAAATATTAAAATCCCATGAACATGTGTGTCGATAAAAATGCAAGCATCTTGCTTTGCACCCCATAAAAACTGATTGCTTTAAATATATCTTTCATTGGTTAGGGAGACAGTAAAACCACAAAAACAAAAAGATATGCAACCTTCATATTCCCCTGGGACTAAATCCAAATTAGAGAGGGAAAAAACCCCTTAGCGTCAACATTCCCTACAAATAATGCAACGAGAAGAATTAAGCCATTGGCATTCCTATTAAG